CTGTGCCCCTCACTCATGTGTGGCCTTGGGAAGATGGCCTCATGTCCTTTGGCTGTGCAGTGGGAGAAAATATTTGCTCCAAACTTGGGAGATGGAACAAACTGTTATTTTAAATGTTTTTTTTTAAATGAACAAATGGTATTTGAAATGTAAAAGGTAGGCAGTTTACTATTAACTTTATGAACTCTGCCACATTCACAGACTTAGACCATCTGCAAGAGCAAAGCAAGAATTTCCAAGAACCACCACACGGCATACAATTTATTGTATCAGAGTGGGGTATTGCATAAGTAAGACATCCCCCTGGTTTTAAAAATCAAATTGTTCCAAGGCATATAAAGAAAAATAAGTCTGTCTCTCACCACTGTTTCCCAGTTCACCTTTCCAGAAATAACCTCACGTTACAATTTCTTACGTATCATTCTGTATTATAGTCTTATAATCATGTGTGTTTGTATGTTTTTCTCACCTTTTTTCTTACTTGAATCCACACTGCTCTGCTTATTTTTCTCACTAAACAATGTATCTTAGAGATAATCCCACGAAGTACATACACATAGAGTTCCACCTCTCTGTGTCTCTCAAGCTCTAGAACTAATTTAATTAATTCTCTGATCTGTGCATTTACATGGTTCACAGACTTTTATTAGTTCAAAAAAGAGTTTCAATAAATATCCATATGCACACATCCAGAATAAGTTCCTGGAAACAGAACTGCTATGCCATAAAAATAAATTGTGTGTCTGTAATTTTTATAAATCTGAAAGCTTTTCTGGGGTTGAACTATATCTTGCTTCACTGGACATGACATACCATGCAGAGAAGCTAACATCGCTTCAACACTGTGGTCTTGTAGCCTGAGGCTATTTTGACTTTTTCTCTCAAATGGCACTCAACAGTGAGCATAGTTCCCCATGTTTGCTGGTTTAGAACAGCAGCAAGTCCTGTCTGTGAACAGCTGTCTCCCCAGTATTGCCACATTAGTGAGAACCCATCTGGAATAACCTCATTCTGGAGAACTTCAGAGCCAGCCCCAAAACCCCATGTTGAAAGCAAGTGTCTGACTGCTTGGGTTTGGGCCATTAGTTGTTTGGAATGATTCAGCCATGGGTTGTGCCAAGACTGGAAAAAGAAAGAAAGAATTGAAAAAAGGCAAAGAGAGAGGCCTACATTTCAATAATTGATATAAGTCAAAGGATCTTGGACTTTCTTCATCTTGGCTGCACAACTGTCGAGCCAGTGAAGGTCTCAGGACCTCTTGGGGTGGAATGAAGACCATGTATGTACTAAATTATTTCTCAGGGTGTTTCCTTCTTTGAAGATTCAAGCGTAGTATTGTTCAGGAAGTACTTGTCCTCCCAATGTCACCAATTTCAAAAAACAAGAGATGCCACAAATCAGTGCATAATTACTGTCCAAAGGGTGGTACAACCGAGAAGGGATTTAGACAGTGATGGCTCCTGAGCAGTCTAGGAGGCAGAGAAGAGAGCCCTGATTTGTGATGCACAGAATTGGCTGGTGGGATCCAGCAAACCACTAGCTATGAATTCAAAGGAAGCATTTTCTTTACTGTTCTATATTGAGAGGACTTGATGAAAAAGGAAAAGTTTGAACTGAAAATTGAAAGATCCCCCAATAGGTACCTTTCCATGGTCACTGATAGAAACAATTCAAAATAGCTTTAAGAAACAGAAAGAATATGAGAATGAAATTGTTATCACAAGTCTCTGAATAACAAGCATTCATAATGTATTCATAGCACTCTCTCTACCTTTCATTTTTTCTTGTATATTTGTGTAGTGGTATCATTGTCTCCCAGCAGCCCAGGATTATAACTTTGCAGCTAACAATTCCAAAGAAAAGCAGAGCCCTTTCAAGATCATCTAGAAAGCCTCTAATTATCTCACATGGATCTCATGCCCACCATTTAGAATCTTAACTGAACACTAAAGAAAGGGCACCAGGGGCCAGGGATTTAGCTCAGTGGTGTGGCCGCCTGCCTCGCAAGCGCAAGGTCCCGAGTTCGATCCCTGGTACCAATTTAAAAAAAAAGAAAAGAAAAACCTCTTAAAACAATTATGAATTATACATTTATTTGAGGGCTAGTTTAACACCTGTTTCCTCGTTAAGGTCTTTGGACCCAGAGACGTTGCTTATTTCATTCATCTCTGTGACCCCAACGTCAGGCAGAATGCCTTGTGCATGGTAGTCATTTGACATTTGATCAATGGATCAATTAATTTGAAGGTTGATGATAGGATTGAAGTTGGTCTGAGTGCCGGAAATGGATACAAAGCGGAGAGGAAGGCAGTCCTAGGGATTACTTCCCTGCTTGTTCTAGTCCACACTCCTCTCCCTTCCCTGACTTTCATGGCACAGTTAGGGTTCAGGTGAAGGTGCAGAAACCTTTCAAACTATTTGAAGCAGACATGGATTTAATGGAAAGCATCATCACAAACCAAGCTCTGGCCTAGGCTTTCAGGACTGCCACAGTACTTATAGCCACCTTCCCATGACTTCTGCCACAATCAGGAAATGAACCACTGGCCCAGTTTCCAGGTGCAGGAACACATCACCTTAGATGTAATCTGGGGCCAGAAATGGCCAGAACTCCAGAGCCACATGGCACCTTCTAGGTCAGGCCAGCAAAGTACATTCCTCCCAGGCTGTTTCCTCCTCTCTACCTAATGCAAAATCCTTTTACTTCAGCTTCTAACTCAGGTCTTATACAAGTACACAGGACTCGCTAAACCTAAGTTATAATGGGACCCCAGCAGCAAGGAGTCCAGAAAGTGGGTTTTTAGCTTTACGGCCTCTGTCATACAGGAAGGCACACTGAGAGACCTTTAGACCACTGTGCAGCAAGCCAGTTGCCCTCCACTGGCACATGTCTGCCCTTGTTGAACTGTAAGCTGTCTGTGGCGTCAGTGTCATAATGTCATTTATCTTCTGTAGTCCAGTGTTAGGTAAGTTCTCTAGGGGAAATTCCTCCTATTCCTTGGAATACTTTATACATTTCTGATGGCACTGACCCCAGTTTGCCTCGTAGAGAGTACTTTGCATTCTCAACCAGAAGCTTATTTCTTTGTACTTATACTCATAATAGGTAATAAATGTTTTTAGACAGAATTAAAGACAGAAACAAGCTAGGGAAAAGAAGTCTGAGCTCCATTCTAGCTTGAGGCATTCTAGCTTGTAGGAGCAGCTCTTGGAACTGCCGCTTGACAAAGCTTTTGAATTGGCTGTTGTGGGACCCATAGCACAAGGCCCCAAGAACTCTGCTTGATTCAGGAGACCACAGGTTGAGGTCTCCTCAAAAAGTTAAAAAACAAAGGGAGGGCTAAGAATGGGGAAAAAATAAGAACCAAGATGCATCATGAGAAATGTAATTGTGTTGTATACCTAAAATGTACCAATAAAAGAATTTAAGAAAAAAAAAAGTTAAAAAACATCTTCCCCATTCAGTCAGCAGTTATCAAATGCTTCCTGGGTATCCGTTTCCTCACCAACAAGAGTGTGCCAGTGATTTCAACTTCTGCTCTGTAACATTCATTTCACTTGCAAGCATCTGTGCCGTCCCCACCAGACTGTAAGCTCCATGAAGGTAGGCACCAAGTTTAATTGTTTTTCCTCTATGACCCTGGCACCCAGCTTGGGTACTGTTCTGGCTGAGATCTAAAATGGGCCCAAGCCTCATGTATTCAGAAAGTGATCGGTTTGGGGGGTGTTGTAGCCGACTTGCTGTTAGGAGGGGTCTGCTGGGGCGGGGGCAGGGGGAGTCACCGGGGGGCGTGACCTGGCCCTGCCTGTTCCTTGCTTCCCTCTGCTCCCTGGCTGCCGTGACAGGAGCTGCTGTCCTCTCCCAGGCCCTTCCACCAGGCCTTCCTGCCTTGGAGCCAGCCAGTTATAGACTGAAAACATGAGCCAAAATAAACTTCTCCTCCTGTCATTTGTCAGTGTTGGGTATTGAATCCCAGCAATGAAAAAGTGACTAAGACAGAGTCTGACACATAATACATGCTTATTAAATATTTGTTGCATTAATATTAAGCTTGCATTTTCAAATACTACTTTTGTAATATTAGTAATAATTCTCTATATAGTTTAATGGCTTACCAAATGCCTTTAAGGGTAAGGACAAATAGTGCAAGGAATGTAGTTATTATTCGCCCCACTTTTCAGGAAAGGAAACAAGATTTATGAGGTTAACAGACTTGTCTAGGGTGGGGGTGGAGGGACCAGCATTAGAATTCAAAGGCATATATATCCGCATTAAAATTCTGACTGTGAACTTTGCATCACATACCAGCTGTAAACTTTGCATCACATACCAGCTGCTAACCAGATGCTCTGACAGCCCAGTGAAATCCTGGTAGCTAGTGGAAGAGACCAGAGGAAGGAGCAGGAAGGAGCAAAAACCAGGCCTCTGGTGATTTTTCTTTCCTCTGCTGTCTGCCTGCTACCTAAACAGAATCTCTCTGCCTGGCTTGGGGGCTGAGTCCCTCCAGTAAAGCCTGCCTCTCTCAATGACTAGAGGCTGCCGCAGGGTGTCAGTGAGGCCAGGAAAGCATCACCTTCTCGGGAGAAAGATGAGGGGTGGGCTGCAGGGACACGTATCTACACTATTCCACCTGTGCATGCTCACAACTCGACCAGATCTACAGCAAGGCAAACACACCTATCAATAGAGAAGGAACCACTGCACACTCGCTGATGTACACAGACATTATGCACATTCATGGATGTGTGTTTGTACATACTCATGTACATACCTAAACACGCACCCAATTCACAGGCATCCAGCCACTATCAGACATGCTCAGCAGGCTGCAGCCTTCAACATGTGCATGCTTCTGTGCACGCACAGGCCCCGATGCGTGTTTGGACATATGCTCACACATGCTGCCTACTGAACACCTACCTCAGATTCATCACCAGGCTCAAGTACGTGCACACTCAGCCCCCGGGGAAATGTTCTCTTGCTGTAAGCTGTCCATGCCACCACACACCCTCAGACCCACAGCAAGATATGCATACAAGGACCCCCAGAGATGTCTCTCAGGACACACGCATTGTCGCAAAGGCATGGATGTAACACTCACTCTCCTGCATGAAACCTTGGAATACACTGACAAGCTCTACACACAGAGATGCAGGGACACACCCACACTGTCACCAGCCCAGCAAGCTTTCTCCAGACCCATGCAAAATAGCCAGCACAGAGCTGTGGGCCAGCCCACGTGACTGGGAAGGCTCTGGCCCATGACAGGATGGGAAAACTATGCCTGGGGCCAGCGTAGGGCTGCAGCTGCACCCCAGCCACAGGAGGCGGGGACGCAAGAACCACAGAGCGCTTCCTCCATTGGTCCGGACACCCCTGGATGTGGCTGGGCACTGAAGGTGAGTGTGCTGTGCTGGGTGGGAGCTGGGAGACCAGGAGGTGTTGGGGACATGGGAGGCTGGTTGCGGGAGAGAGAAAATGCTGCGAATGGGCCCTCGCTCTGGGCCAGGGCTGGGCAGCCCTTCTTTGCTGCCTCCAGACATCTGCTACAAGAATATAACGTAAATTAACATTTCTTGAGGCCCTGTGCACCAGGCTCCTGCTGGGTGCTTACTGGCTGGAATAGTAAATAACAGTTCTGCCCTTTACCGGGCACCTGCTAGGTGCCAAACCCTACCAGTCCCTACCTGCAAGCTTTTTCTCTGTCACAAGTCATCCCCATCCAGGAAAGAAGGATGCACAGCCAGGAACCGAACCCTGAGACTTAGGGCCAGTAATCCCAGTTAACGTTCACTGAGTGCGTTATCTCATTTGCTCTTCACAACACTTCTTTAACTACGTTGTACAGATGGACAGACGGAGCTCAAAGGTAATAAAGGACACTCAGAGATTTGCACCAGTTCTTGCCAATTCTCGCTCCTTCCTTGCCCAAACTGCTTGTCTCTAAGGCTTGTCCTAATCTACTGTACTCTTATTTCTCTGTCTTTGCGCTTTGCCACTGCCCCATCCCAGGACCCTGTCTCTCAGCTGAACTGTGGCACTGGCCTCCCAGCCCCATCTTTTAACACCGGAAGTCCTTGTACCCTCTCCTCTGTTTCACTGAGTTCTACCCCCAGCTCCTCTGCTCTCCAAGCACAAACTGATCTCTTGGAACCTTCGGCCTTCTCTTCCTTGGGCTGCCATCCCAGAGACCTTGGGTTTTCACCATGCTGACCGGCAGCAGAATCGGCGACAATGTCCTATACAGGTCAAAGGAAGGCTGATGCCCAATTAGCACTACTAAAAATTCCTATTTCTGCCCTCCCCACCGTATGGGATTATTCCTATTCAATGACACACACGGCTTTCAACTACCAAGTCCGCAGACCCCCACCCATTCAGATCATCATGACTTTCACTATCACACAGCAAGTGCCCTGGTCAAGTGTCTGACTTCTCCCCATCTCCCAGCACTGGCATCACCCTTGCCTGTTTGACAATCCTAAAACTGTAGGGTTACCTTTTGGTATCGTTGTTGTTGCTTTTGGGGGTTTTTTGGCACCGGGGATCGAACTCGGGACCTTGAGCTTGCAAGGCAGGCAGCGGCACCAGTGAGCTAAATCCCCGGCCGTCCCTTTTATTTTAAAGGTTATAAAAGTTGGGGCTGGGGATTTGGCTCAGTGGTTTCTCCGCCTGCTGGGCAAGCACAAGGACCTGAGTTCGATCCCCGGTACCAAAAAAAATTAAAGGTTATAAAAGTACTGGTGCACTTCATGAAAAATTCAGACATTTCAGAAAGGTGAAAAGTAAAAGGCCTCACCCCTCCTCTCAATCTGACAGGTAACCCTTTAACAGATCTTATGTCCTTTCAGAAACTATATATATATATATATATATATATATATATTTCTTTTGGTTCCAGGGATCGAACTCGGGTCCTTGTGCTTTCGAGGCAGGCACCAGAACCACTGAGCTAAATCCCCAGCCATATATATGTATATTTCTATATGGACAATTAGAAATAATTCTCCATATAGAATTCTTTACATTCCATTCTACAACTGGCTCTTTTCTCTTAACAGGGTACCTTGGCCATGTTTACATATCTGCATAGATGACCTACTTTGTTCTTACAGTGTTTTCATAGTATGTCACTGTACAGGTGAATTGAGATTCTTTTCACAAGTCTAGGATCATCTTCAAAGCTATTCCTGTCCCCATCAGCTGTTCAGTGAGTTCCCTGAGCAGCCGCTTTTTCTCTGCAGATCCTGCCATCCTTTCTTGTCTTGCTGCTCCCTCTCTCATCTGGCCCTGCTGATGGTCACTCTTCCCCAGTCTTCATCACCCGTGCTTCCTGCTCCCAAATGTTCATGGTGGAGTAGGCGACATTCACAACCTCCCCACCCTCCCTCAGAGCCCTGCCAACCTTACTTTGCCTCCTGCATAAATCAGATTTCTGTTAATCAAGCTCAATTCTAGGTTTACTTTTGAAAGGAATTCTATGCTAAATATTTTTTTAAGCCAGTAACCCTTCCCAGATTTATTCACTTTTATAAATACCTACTTCCTTAACACGTACATGACTACCTGTAACTCTTCTGTGGGCAGAGATCACAAGGGACAGGAGCGCTAGGCCCCAAGTTGGCAAACCGAGGTTTCTGGATATGTTTGACCTGTGAAATACATTTTTAATTTTGGGGGGCTATGTTCTCTTCTGCCAAGTGGAGATGACATCAGCCTCTTAGAACTGTAGGTATAATGAAAGGAGATAAAAACATCAAAACATTGAAGGAAGAAGATTCAACATAGATGGAAAACCATAGCTTTTTCCCCGCTAGGTCAGAGGTTGCAAATTCAGATGTCAGCAGGGGCTGTGCACAGTTTGTGCATAATAAACAGGATGGGTGGCATCAGGATGCTAAAGAACAGGCCTCATGTCTTAATCCACTCAGGCTGCCACAAGAGTGCCATAGACGAGGACTGAAACAACGGACCTTTATTTATTTGTTTCTAAGGCCGGACATCCATGATCAAGGTGTTGGCAGATCTGACACCTCTCGCCTTGGCTTGCGGATGGCCATATTCTTCTTACTGTCCCTCTGTATATGTTGGTGTCCTAATCTCCACTTCTTACAGGGCCACAAGCCACATTTGATTAGAGCCTACCCATGGGACTCATTTTACCTTAATTACCTTTTTAAAACTCCCATCTCCAAATATAGTCCCATTCTGAGATTCTAGGGATTAGGACTTCAACAGATGAACTTTGGGGAGATATGATTCACCCCATCACACTCCATCTCAAGGGCCAGCCAGGTGGTAACCTGCCAGAACCAAGGCTCATTTCTGCCAGATCTATCAGGTTTCCAAGAAAATGCGGGAATTTTTACTTTAATAGAAAATCTCCCAGCTGGATATGGTGGCACGTGTTTATAATCCAAGCACTTGGGAGACTAAGGCAGGAATACCATGAATTCAAAGCTGGCCTGAACTGAGGATAGTTTGGGGGAGTGGAGAGAGGTATTGTGTGGATATGGGGAGCCTCTGTACAGATATTCCATCTCTGGACAATGACAGGGTTATAGAACTTGCCTTCTTTTCTTCCAATCCCTGGTAATATCTCTAGACTCAGTTGAGATTTTTGCTTCCTCTGTTGAAATTTTCAAACTGCTCTTCCTTTTCCCATCTGAAAATTAATGCATTCATATACCAGACAGATTATGCTGATGACAATAGTGCTGATGATGCTAATGGCATGTAACACTAACATCGTTGTGCTTCTTTACCCGATTATCTCATCGATCTTGCCAATGCAAAGATTTAGGTAATACTCATCCTTTTTTAAGAATGAGGGACTGGGGCCTGGAGGGGTTAACTATTTTGCTCTTACACAGGGACTAAATACCAACCTGGCAGAGTCTATAACAAGAGCATATACTCTCAATAGCACTTGTCTGATTGCATCTCTGACATAAATATAACTGGAGCACACCGGCCAATAGTGTGGATTCTGGAGTCAGAGTGAATTTAATTGTACCTCTGGGACTAGCTGGGTGGGTGATCTACATAGCAAGATCAAGGCTATCCATGGACTACACAGTGAGACCCTATCTCAAAAAAATTTTTTAAATCCCAAATTTTAATTTGGCAACAATTTCAAATTAAAACAAAAATCTGTGTTTTTGTGATCTGTGATTTGCACAAGGCTATTAATTAACTAGTTGATCACACTTGGTTAGATGCCATTTCCTGGGTAGCAGGATCATATCCAGTATCTTTTTGTTCTTTTTTTTTTTTTTTGGTACCAGGGATCGAACTCGGGACCTTCCGCTTGCAAGGCAGGCACCATAACCACTGAGCTAAATCCCTGGCCCTCAAGTATCTTTTTAATCCCTTACTTACAGACAGTTTTGTACATAGAAATCATAACAAAAAACTGATCACGGGATGACTAGATTTGAGTCTTACCTTTTTTAAAGTCACACCCACCTATAGAAATCCTGCTAAGTACACACTTATGCTGTGCTAGAAAATAGCATGAGCTGATCACACCAAAGCTCGCAAGTGTTCAACTCCTGGAGAAAACCCAGATCTGCCTGTGCGTCCACACTTTCTCCATGACATCCTTTCTCTCTCTGTTCTCACAGTGATTACTGTATCAGAATAACACTGTTACTGAGTGCTTGCTGTGAACTGCTTATTGTAGTTATCTCATTTGCCATTCACCATTACTCTAAAGGGAAATGGGAGTGCTCTATTGACTTAAAGGAGACATTCCTGAAGACCTCAAATAATTCAAAACTCACCTCCTAAAGGATCCCAGGTGTTATTGCTGCATCTAGATGTCCCCCAAAGCCTCATGCAGTCATAGGTGGGCCTTTTTCAGAGGTTGCTGGACCTAGAGTGTGTGACACTGGGATTGAAATGGTAGGCTCAAGGGCACTAGGATTAAGGGTGTGAGTGGATAAAATAGAAAGAACAGAAAGAGCTGTGGTAGTCCCTTGTTGCTTTGCTGCCTTCTGCCCACCATGGACTGTTTCTCCTCTGTGATGCCCCTCTGCCATGCTACCCTGCCTTGGAGCCAGCTGTTTATGGACTGAAACCTCTACAAACTGTGAGCTGCAATAAACCTTTCCTCTTTTAACTTTGGGTGTTGGGTATTTTGTCTCAGCAACAAGATAAATAACTAAGACACCAGGTATGCCTGTTTGCCTATTAGAATAGTGCTACCATGTGGCTATAACATAAATGCGGTCTGTAATTTACAATTCACATTGTCTTCCAGGGTTTTTGTTGTTGTTGTTTTTTGGTACCGGGGATCGAACTCAGGACTTTGCACTTTCAAGGCAGGCTGCAGAACCACTGAGCTAAATCCCCAGCCCTGTCTTCCAGGTTTTTGGCAAATTTCTAGTTTGGGAAT